TCAGCAGGAGAAGAGAGAAAGCAGGCAAATCTTCTCCCTCACAGAAAGACGCAGGAGGGACCGGTGTAGAAAAGTCCGGAATTGGGTAGTAGCTAATGCCATATTTACAACTGCATTCTGGGACAAATCCACCTCCAGCAGCAGATGATTTCTGGAGCTCCTCCAAACACCATCTCCAACAAGTCAGTATTCCCGATGAAGAAACGCACGCACGCCCGTTCTCATTACAAGACAGCGCTGCTGGACGTCTCTGGATGTTTGGCCACAACCCAAAGGACAAAATCTCAATTGTGATTTTCTTCCCCTTTATCAAACATGTATCATTTCCATAACAGTTACTGATAGCGCTGCATCAGTGGGTGCAGAACAGCCATCTTCTTCTGGGAGGACCACGGGAGCGCTTGGAGAGGCCTCTGAACCGTCCTTCCCCACTTCCCAAAGAAAATCTCTAATATCCAGGATGAACAGGAGCATTTCTGACTTTTTTGACTCCTTTTTTGACTTGGAGGGGTGTGCCAGCTCACCTAAAACTCCACCGTGAAACGGTTCATGGTCACTGCATCCAGGCCCCAAGATGATCTTTAGGAGGCTTCTGATGAGAAATGTGAATGGGGGTTGAAAGCTAAAAGGAAATCGCAAGTTTGACTTCAAGTTTCATGAGACCCTGGAAACCCAAGGCACCAAACTTGTCAGCTCAGTACACAACAGTCCTTGATAATCAGAAGCTCTTACCAGTAAAACAGAATGAAAACAAGAAGGGGTTGGACTGAAAGCCATCAAAGCCCAAGACGACCGCTGGCTCCAGCTCCTGCGGACGCAGGCGTCTGCCAGGAGTTCATGTGGCAGGTGTTGAGAAAAAGAGGCCATAAGAAGAAACACCCAGAGTGCCAAAAATCAGATCTTAGAGGGTCAAAGGAACATTTTGGGAGTAAAAAAATGGAAACGGAATGGGATATATTATATATGTATATATAAATATATAAATTATTACTTTCTGTGCTATAGCATTTTATTTACAAACTTGTTTGTTTTGTTTTCTTTTGAAAGCAGGTTTATCTTCCCTGTGTGGGTTTCTTCCGTGTTCCTTTTTTCTAAGTATTGATTGGCAGGTATTCCTTAGAGGATGCAATAAAAGAACAGATATTATACATAATCAGTTTGTGTTTGACAAGATTCACTCTTTCTGCTCACTTAAAATACAGAAATTAGAGTGGAGGATATTTCTCCTTCATACCTCAGCATCGTCCTACCACGAAATGCAGGAACACGTGAGGTACAGACGCTGTTTTCAACAGCACTGATATTTGAACAACATGAAGACCTGGGCAGCGAGCTCCAATGGCTGAACTCAAAGAGAAGCTGGGGTGTGAGCTACTGATTTCACACTAAAGACAAGGAAGAATCAAAAAGCAAATTATCATTTCTGCAGCACGGCAGTCGTGTCTGCATAGGAGTGTGGAGGAACAGCGAGGACTTCACATCCTGTGAATAATGCTCAGCTCCCTTACAAACCAAACAGACTGAAAGCAAACCATTGTAGTCTTCAGAGATACTAAGCATACTTCTACCACGTTAAAGAATATTAACTATACAGGTATTTTCCTAAAAAATTGCAGTTAAGTACACCAATTAGAAAATGACAATGGAAATAGTATTTTACGATGCATTTCTCGGTAACAACCCATCCATTAGGTATTCTAATGTTTCAATAGCCTCAACAGCACCTTGCTGGAATTTGCAGAACACAAATAACCAGTCAGACAGGTGGATGAAGTCCTTTGGAAACTGAATGTGCAGAACGTGCTCTTTAGGCTCTAAGAGCTAAAACCTTTTAAGAGTTGAAAACAAATATGTGTTATACAAGAACTTTCTCAAGTCTTCCTTCTCTGCATATTCAATAAAAATGCTGCTAGCTTTATTTTGTATTTCCTTTATTGCTTTTCAGAACATTTCAAGGGTTTGAAGCCCTGGTCAGAAAGTCAGAGTCAAGCCCTTGGTCACTTAAGGAGCTTCTTGCTAAAACTCCCACCTCTTCCATCCTCTCCTAGGGCCAAACTCCACAGCTCTTGTACCACAAATCTGCAGGATCCTTTCACAAAGACCCAGGATGACTGGAGAGGGGAAATTTCACTGCGTGCCTTAGATGACGAAGGTGGGAAAGCACAGCAGATCACTTAGATGTGGTATTTATTACTAAATCTCAAGTGGTTTGTGAACTTCTACCACACAGGGTCACCGATCCGTGCCCAAGGCCTCTAGAAGCGACTGCAATACCGATATGAAATAAGAATTAATATCGACTTCGAGATATGAACACAGGGCACGTCAGTGGCGGCGTTTTCAAATTAGCAATATAAAGAGGCTTAACTTCCACAGAAGTGAAGTTGCTGCTGGAAGTGATATGA